AGAAGCAGTAGTTAGGTTCGTGAAAGATTTCGCTGCTGACGTGGTGGGTGGACAAATAAGAAACTCTGAATAGAATATAATTGGAAGTCATCTTTCACTTCTAGTGGTAACTTTCTACTGCTGTCTACGGTATACCTACCTAGACACGCAGTGACCAATAAGTATAGCAGTAAACTACTCCCAAGCAAATCAGTCCATTTTGTGAAATATGTCGAAATGGTGTGGAGATATAGATCGATGAATGGTGTGAGAATTGGACTGAAGAATGGCTACTGTGCTACCCGGATAAATTTGAAGTTTAGATGGGTGGATCACGACTATCAGATCCGATCTGGGAGTAGATCCGATCCACGAGGGGGTCTGATCCCGGAGGGACCCGATCTGAGTCAGGGTTGGGGACAAATCAAGGAACCTACGATGTAATCGAGACATTGTGATTCAGTGGACGACGCGTGGAGAGTGCCTGTTGCATAGATAGGCTAGTTTGTAGATATCGCAATTTGTTCTACCAACATTAAACAAAGTACAATTTACTTCAAAAGACACGCGTTTTCTCTTCCAGACTGGATCTTTGGCCTCCCCTACGACTTCACGAATTACAGCTCTTGTCTCTTCAAGTGTCACACTTGGGTCGTGGCCAGGTGCGTATAAGACTTTCATAACATCACGAAAACTGCGATATGGCACAGCAAGAAACCATGGATGATCAAGATCGCGAGACGGCTCAAGTGGTCATAATGTCAAGCGGATCGAGACATACGTATTGAACAGAGCGGTCTCGTTGAGATCTACGTAGCTCATATCGAGTACCTAAACATTGACCTGTGATCGCGTGAAGACTTCCACACGATCAATACCCCATGTTAAACACGTACAAGTTTTCGATCGACACGAGTCCACCTGGAAGAGCGCAGCCCGCCCTACCGACGGGTACAAGAGGTGACGAAGGAATCAAGCACGGAAATGGAGTACCCCCTCAGATAGTCGGTCGTATGAGTGACAGTTGAGTGGCGACATCACATGAGCAATTTTGTGAATTCTACTTCACCACAAGGGCAATGCATTCACGACTCATTTGCAACATAGGATGCGTACAATCCTACATATTACTTGGGGCGTCTCCTCTCGTACTCTCATCACGAGGTTTTTTACGACGATAAAGATAGCCACCACGTTCACAAATATCTACCCTATTTTTGTGTTCTCACTCCATTCTTTTGGCCGGGTCTCGTATTGAAGAGAAGTTCCCAATCAAATTATTAATATCTTCTTTACGTTTTGCCACCAGCTATTCAAGCAGAAATGGAATTTCAATTTCGTTCTACAACTGTGCGAGAGTAAGATCAGCGCGATCTTTGACGATCGTCGCGGTGTATTTGCACATTGTTGGTAGAGGATCGACTTCTGCCTTTCACGTGCTCCAAATCCTCGCGCAACTTCAGGATTGTGCGATCCATCGCGTGGACATCGAGATGGTCTGGAAAATGAACTGTACCAGGTTTTACGCTTCCAATATCTCTTTTGATGAAATCTCGTGTCGGATAACGCTTATAAGTGAAGCGAATCTTAAATCATTGCATCGGGTGGGAGTTTGAAGAGCTAGCTTGTCCGAAAAATTGTAAGTGTTCCTTCTTGGTACAGTTGGGAGCCGCTCTACTAGCCAATAATTGACGGTCTCAGCTTCTTCACAAGTATAACGAGATTCACATACTGGCTCGGAAGGACCATCGAAGAACGAGCATTCGAAACGCTTGTAAAGAGATCAAAAAGTCTTCATTATTCGTACATTTCGGAAAAGATGCGAGGTATTCAGTGGATATGGCTACGGAAGTAGGCTCAGTAGGGGAGCGAAAACAGTTGTTATGCAATCTAAAATATATGGTTTCTTAATAGCAGTAGGGCAATGTTTCCTTCTTTGATAACCGGTGCATAGTGTACCTTGCATCAGTGGGTCTTGCTTCTCTAACTTATTGCGAGCAGCGGTAAGTTGATCGAACCAGGCTTCATGCACGATCATAAAAGTCCACATGTTTGATAAAAACAATACAGGTCTGCACCAACGATCTATAAAACTTGCGACAGGGGTCGTGGTGCCATCAATATCGTTTCTGTGCATCGATGTAACACGCATGCTTATTACGACATTTTGTTTTGTACTGACATCAAGGTGATAAAGTCATGAAGAGCTAAGAAGAGAGAATGTATTATTCCCAGTAATCATACCATACAATTTCTCCAAGCTCCGCCGTGCAGGTGTCCATGCTTTTATATTGCAGTCTCAATTCTCGTGCGGGTATCAGCAGAATCTATAGCGCCACGAATGCCGTCATCACGTCGATCAGCTTGGTTTCGATGACTCAACGCAGAGTCACCGGTAGTATCGCGACTGTCAGGATCATCGTGTAGCACGCTCTCCTTGCGCTTAAGCGAAGATAATCGAACCGATACCACGGACAAGTAGTCGGGTACAGTAGACGACTCGAACGTCTCGCGACGCCAATATAACACGACCTGACGGTCCAGGATAAACTTTGGCTGCGTCGTCTTTGCATCCCACGACTCATTGGCCGATTGAGCTCGTACTTCAGAGTCAGAAAAATGATCCGAATCGCTTGAGTAGAACATCTCTGTTGGAAGTCAGCGGGATTCATGGTAGACAGTGCCACAGCATGAGTTGTATGGAAATTGGCTCTTACGTAACTGCTCGTGGACAAAGATCTGCGGTGGTTTTTGGATGTGGGAAGCGCACGATGAATAAGAGCAAGAGTTCACAACATTTCGATAATATATTTCAGTTCTGGTTTAGCTACGTCGTGACCACTCACTCCTTCCACTTGTTCTATTCGTGAATTCGTCTCAGCATCCCTAAGTGCATACTATCTCTATCTCTGGATCGTCTTGCGACGTATGACATCGATACACACAAGATTCTACCGTTGATAAGCTGCATGTGTTTCATTACAACATGCACTAAAACGATCGACGTTGCAGGCTGCTCATTAGCATCAGCAGGCGATTGAATACCTGCAGATGATTGCTTACTTGCCTTCTGGCAAGCTGCACGCATCCGTGCAGCCGCCTTCGCAGCAGCCTTTACTGCATTCCGCATTGATATTCAAATCATGCGCGTGAAAATCGAAAGTATTGGTAATTATTAAAAGTACTCCCTTTCCAAGAGTAAACCAACCTGGTCACTCTATCATCTTTCAGTCGTCAATTCGTCAAAAAAGTGATAGATGGTTGGCAAAGCGGTAATGTAACTGGGTAAGCCTATTCAGATCGGTGAAGGAGTAGTGGCTAATGCGTACATCATTTTGTTGTTAGAGTTCAAGTTGGAAGCTGCGTTGTAATTTGTCGTATGTCCGACGACACCATCAAAAACGATACGACGCACTCGTAAACATAAGGATCAGTTGCAGAAGCACATACTGTGTCCCCTCGATAAGTCGTCATCCACTACTTCACAATTCTAGTAGGATGTTTTGATCGGACTTCCACCGAGCTCGTTGTCCGACTGTTCCGTTACGAGCTTGCAGTGATAGCTAGAATTGGCAATATGACTTTATTAGTCGACATCATTTCACCATTTGGCTCTGCACTTTTCATAGGATGAGTACCAAGCACCACCGTCGTCGACGATATCTTGTATCGATAAGGAACCCTAGATGAAGCACAACAAGGTGGACTGATCGGGTGCTGTGTGTGCGTCGCGAGTATCAGATCGACTGTCGCAATGATGTCATTTTGGGCAGCCTGGAGAGTGTCTTGGACGAGACCCAGCAGATAGCAGACATCAGAGAAGACGTCAATCGTTTAGGTTGCTGTAAACTTGATGCAACAAGCTTAATTTTTCGATTGTTTCACCGCTTTTCGTCCTCCTCTGATTGTTCTTTGCTTCAGGTGAGCTCATGCTATCGTACTCTTCCACTTGACTGCAAAGCTTCGGAGTCGACGCAAGATCGGAACAGGCAGTTGTTTACGCCTAGCTTCCGTCTCCATCGTACGTTTCCTGACGATGTTCTTTCGAACTCTGTTCGAGTCTCTTTATCTTTGTTCCTTCGGGTCTTTGTTCGTGTCCATTTGACACTCTTATAATGACAAAAGACAACGATGTAATGTCTGTGCGTTTAGGGACTTCGGCAATGGTAGTGAACGAGGTCTCGGTAATGACCAGTGCATGGCAGTAAGCCGGTCAACATCATTGCTGCTGCCGATCGGCCCACGCCCTTCCTTGCAAGCGACCGCATTCTACAGATGGTAGCGGCAGGAGCGCACATCCATCTCGATACGATGTCGGCATCATCAGCCGATTTTAGCACCGCTAGTGTCGAACGAGTGCATGCCATTACGTTAGCAATCTTCAGATCACCCTGTCACGAGGTGGGTAGTTGTCATCCACAAGGAGACGCTGTCAATTTGCCGTACAGCTTCCACGAAAGCGCTCACGTCACAAAAACGCGTAAAGGACACGTCTCACGCCATTGGACACGTGCCATCTTACCTATCAGCCTGCACGTGCATTCCTTCGTCAGCAATCAACTGATTTGGATCGCTAGGTCTGCCTCCTGTCGTGCTTGGGCTAGGCGGGTCTGCCTTGTTGAAGTAGCGCTATTCCCTCTTTCTCGACGACGGTCCAATTCTCAACCAAAAAACCAAAAAACCAAAAAACCACAGAAAAAGAAGAAGAAGAAGAAAAGAAGAAAAGAAGAAGAAGAAGAAAAGAAGGATGGAGAAGAATAGTAGCAAGAACAATCACGAAAAACAACAGTAACACGAACAATAACGAAAACAAACACTAGCGTTCTAGAACAAATAATCCGACAAAGACTCACCTCCATCTAGTAATTCACCTCGCTGTCCACTGTACCCATATCGTACCCACAAGCGCACGGCTCGTGGGTACACCACAACCCGTCACGTCCACAAGAAGTTGCGCGCGAGAGACCTCGCGGCCAGTCAATCCAAGTCCAGTCCAAGTCCCCACTCCGCCCCGCGCGCCAATGGCTCTCCCGCAGCCCATCGAGTGCAAAGCCGCCGTGTGCTGGTCCGCCAAAGCCGACTTCGTGCTCGAAGACGTCGTCGTCGGGCCGCCGCGCGCGGGCGAAGTGCGGATCAAGATCGTGGCCACCGGTGTGTGCCACACGGACGAGTACACGCGCTCGGGCAGCGACCCGGAAGGGCTGTTCCCCGTCATTATGGGCCACGAAGGCGCTGGCATTGTCGAGAGCGTCGGACCGGACGTCACGCGGCTCCAAGTGGGCGACCACGTGGTCCCGTGCTACACGCCGCAGTGCCGCAACTGCAAGTTCTGCCGGTCCAGTAAGACGAACCTGTGCTCGGTGATCCGGAGCACGCAGGGCAAGGGCGTCATGCCCAACGGCACGTCCCGCTTCACGTGCAAGCGCAACGGCGAGACGCTCTACCACTTTATGGGCACGTCGACGTTCGCCGAGTACACAGTGCTGCCCGAGATTGCCGTGGCCAAAGTGGATCCGTCGGCGCCGCTGGACAAAGTGTGTCTCTTGGGCTGCGGCATCACCACTGGCTACGGTGCAGTCGTGAACACGATGAAAGTCGAGAAGGACGCGACCGTTGCTGTGTTTGGGCTAGGCGCTGTGGGTCTGGCGGTCATCATGGGCGCCAAGGCCGTCGGTGCTCGCAGGATCATCGCCGTTGACATCAATGCCAGGAAATTCCCCATTGCAAAGGAGTTTGGCGCGACAGAGTTTGTGAACCCGAACGATTACCCGGATCGACCGATCCAGGACGTGCTGCTGGAGCTGACGGAAGAGGAAGGCTTTGGCGGACTGGACTACACGTTCGAGTGCATTGGACGACCTGAAACCATGCGTGCAGCGCTAGAGTGCTGCCACAAAGGATGGGGCCAGTCGTGCATCATCGGTGTTGCTGCCTCCGGCGTCGAGCTGGCCACGCGTCCGTTCCAGCTTGTGACAGGCCGTCGCTGGGCGGGCAGCGCGTTTGGCGGCTTCAAGAGTCTCGACGGGGTGCCTGAACTAGTGACCAAGTACCTGAAGAAAGAGATCAAAGTCGACGAGTTTATCACGCACAAGTTTGACCTCTCGCAGATCAACGATGCGTTTCATGCCATGCACCACGGCGATGTAAGTACTCTGGGCTCACTGATCCACTGCTGCTTCTTGATCGGTCGTTATTGCTTACGATAGGACACTCACTTGCTTGTGTGATTGTGTGTGTGGCGGAAACTGTCGTGACTCCTTAGTGCATTCGAGCCATCGTGTACTTCCACGGCGTGCCCCAGGAATAGCAACCCACGCCACAACCAGTGGCAGTCGTCAAGATCTGCAGTACGGTGATCAGTGCGTGTTCGAGGGTGAACGAGGTGAACGCGGTAGTGTGTGAAGGCGTCCTCGTATCCAGCGGCCAAATCCAATCGAGCGTTTGCCGTTCCGTTTGCTTCAGTGTGGATGGATCACAAGGGTTTTGTCCGAGTGAGTGCGTGCGTGCGGAAGCAGGTCGAGACGCTGCGTGCGGGCGACATGATCAGCCTCTGGTCGCTTCCAGTCAGCAGTAGGCACAAAGATCGGCGTCTCGGGAGCCGCAGCAAATCGTCGTCGCGGGTCCCTTTTCCCGCCGGTGGATCTCTCACGTAAATCAGAGTGAGCCAACTCGGAGATCAACACAATGTTCAGAGGCGCCCTCGACCCACATCCGAACTTAACGTACTACTACGGACCACCCGTGTGTGGGTGTGGGTGTGAACGCGATCTATCACATCCATCCAGTCAGTCAGTCAGACAGACAGACAGACAGACACACCGACACACAGACAGACACACAGATCTCTCTCACTCGCCATTTTGCTCCCTCGACCGCACTCGTGTTCTCGTCCTTTTTCTCGTCGTCACTCTCGACCATGAGCGTCCAGGCCCAACCCGGCGACAAAGTCGTGCTCGCCTACAGCGGCGGACTCGACACGTCCATCATCCTCAAGTGGCTCACGAACAAGGGCTTTGAGGTCATTTGCTACTGCGCCAACGTCGGGCAGCAAGGCGAAGACTACGAACAGGTCCGCGCGAAAGCGCTGGCGCTCGGGGCGAAGAAGGTGTACATTGAAGACCTGCGCGCAGACTTTGTCGAGCACTACATCTTTGAAGCCGTCAAGGCCAACGCCATCTACGAGTCGCGGTACCTGCTCGGCACGTCGCTCGCGCGGCCTGTCATTGCCAAGAAACAAGTGGAGATCGCCAAGGCCGAGAACGCCAAGTACGTGGCGCACGGGGCCACGGGCAAGGGCAACGACCAAGTGCGCTTCGAGCTCTGTGCGCAAGCGCTGGACGCGCAGCTCAAGACCATTGCGCCGTGGCGCGACGCCGAGTTCATTGAGACGTTCAAAGGCCGAGCTGACTTGATCCAGTACGCCAAAGAGCAGTCGATCCCGATCGATGCGACGCCGAAAGCCCCCTACAGTGTGGATGAAAACCTCTACCACACGAGCTACGAGGCCGGGATGCTCGAGGACCCCATGACGGCCCCCATGGTCGAGATGTTCAAGATGACGGTGGACCCGAAAGACGCGCCGGACACGCCCGAGCAGATTAGCGTCCGCTTTGAAAAGGGCATTCCCGTGGGCGTGACCAACTTGACGGCCAAGACGCCCGAGCTGACGGGCGCGCTCGACCTCTTTCTGGAGCTCAACAAGCTCGCGGGCAAACACGGCGTCGGTCGCATTGACATTGTCGAGAACCGGTTTGTCGGCATCAAGTCCCGAGGGTGCTACGAGACCCCTGGCGGTACCATTCTCCGTCACGCGCACCTCGACCTCGAAGGGCTGTGCATGGACCGCGAGGTGATGAAGGTGCGCGGACGGCCTGTCGGCCAAGTTTGCCGAGTTTTGCTACAATGGGTTCTGGTTTGCCCCCGAGATGGACTTTGTGCGTCACGCGGTGGACTACTCGCAGCAGAACGTGACGGGCTACGTCCACCTCGAGCTCTACAAGGGCAACGTGACGGTCATTGGCCGCTACTCGGACGAAGCGCTCTACAGCGCGGACCTGGCGTCGATGGACCAAGAAGGTGGGGGCGACCACTTTGACTACAACCCAGCGGACGCGCAAGGCTTTATTCGCATCAATGCCACGCGTCTCAAGGCCTGGCGATGCCGTCCGCAGCCCAAGAAGTAGGTGACGACCTTTCTTCGCGACGAGCGGCCGTCGATGTCGCTTGTCGCACAAGTATAGTGCCGAGTGCTAAGCCGGACACGAGAATATGCATTGGCCTCGGCGCTTGCGAACCTGACCCCCACGCATGACCAGTCGATTGTTATCCTGCTTTTGTGTGTCTTTCGTCACTGTCACTATCATGTCAACCGCGTCCGTGTAAAGCAGGATAAGAACGAGCTTCATTGTGCAACGAAGCGCAGCAAAAAAAGCACTTTGCTGCTCCTTCTTACTTCACACGCTCAGTAGCGATTTTGACGTCCGAGTCGCACAGGCGAAAGCAGAAGAACAGGGCATGGGGAACGACGGCGGCGTCATCGCTGTGAAGCGCAAGTTCATGCGCCACGCGAACGTCAAGACGCGCGGCGAACAGGCGGACCAGGAGGCGCTGCGTGCCGAGAAGGCGCGTACGTGTGCGCTGTCGTCGCAGCCGCTGCAGGAGCCCATCGTGGCGTGTCGCTTGGGCAACTTGATGAACAAACAGACAGTGATCGAGCAGCTACTGGCCAAGTCGATGCCGCCGCACGTGGCGCACGTGTCGTCGCTCCAGGACGTTGTCACGTGCCGCGTGACGCGCGTGAAAGACGACACCGACGCGCGTGGCTGGTGCTGCCCCGTTACGCTGGTCGAGTTTACCGGCAAACAGCCGTTTGTCGTGCTCTGGACGTGCGGCTGCGTGCTGTCGGAACGTGCTCTGAAAGCCGTTGACACGTTGGAGTGTTTGGTGTGTAGCACTCCGTTTACAGAGCAAGCGGTCGTGACGCTGCTGGACGAGAAGGGGTACAAGGAAAAGCAGGAGACGCTGCTGGAGCAAAAGGCAGAGGCGAGACGCACCAAGAGGAACAAGAACAAGGTCAAGCAAGTGGACGAGACGGACGGCACGAAAGCGGACACGACGAAACGTCAGAGCGGCACGAAGCACAAGCGAAAGGCCGAGCAGCGACGAGACGCCAAAGCCGCCAAAGTGGCAAAAGTGGCGAGTGAGTCGATTTCCAACGCCAAGGAGAAGAGTCGCGTGTTTGCGTCAATATTTTCCACGACGAAGCAAGAGAAAGTGAGTGCCAATGACTTGCTCATGACGATTGGCGGCATGCGCTACACGCTGTCGTAGCCAGCGCCGGATCGACACGACAGGGTGGCGGACGGTGAGCAAGCGGTTCGCGTACTTTTCGACATGTTTGTCTCACGTGGCTGGAACGTGAACGCTCGACCAGACCTTGGCAGAGCCGTCGATACAGCCTGTGGCGAACATGCTGCTTTCTGGGTGACTCGCAAGCGCTCGCACTGCTTTCGTGTGTGCTGCGAACGAATGCGTTTGTTTGGCGTCGACGAGGTCCCACCAGTACACTTGCCCGTTTTCGGAGCCGCTGAGCACGAGGGCGCCATCGCTCGAAAAGCCGCATTCTATCTTGTAATCCAGCACGCTGTGTCCAAGATAGCTGAACGCACGCACGACGAGCGCAAGTACGAGGGTGAGACTAGCAACCAGCATACGCTATCATTACCGTCTTTTTCACTCACCGCTGCACTTCTGTTCCATTAGCTTTCTCGATCAGCCGGATTGAGCCGTCTAAGCATCCAGCCAGGACGAAACGCATGTCGGGGGACTGCGCGACTGACACTACTGGCACTATTGCAGCAAGAACAACAACATCGGCCAATCTGCTCATGAGACGATCGCGTCGCGATGTTGCACTCGTATGAACGCGTACCGTCAATATGCTCGCAAAAGAGTTGCCCCGCACGTAGATCGTATGTCCGCACGACACCGTCGACACACCTGCAGCCGAAACAAGAGACCACATGAGTGCAGCCGCGGGAACGGACGAGAGCAAACTAGTTGAAGGTGTCTGTACCCCGCAATGATCTCATGCTCTGCAACTACCATCGAGGTGACGCTGTCTCTGAAGTCATCCAGAACCTGAATCGGCACGTACGAGTTGCGAGCTCTGACAGCAAGCGCACATTCACACACACGCGTGAGGAGCTCTGTTGGATGGACGGACAGTGTTGCATCCGCAGTAGTATGTGTCTCGACTGACCTCATGTCCCACGCCCGGACAGTCTTGTCGTACGACCCGCTCAGCAACACGGACGAGTCTGCATTGTAGCGCACGCAATTGACACTCTGCGACGCCCGTGCCACGAGACGGTCAAAAAAGTCAGCAGCAGTCTCGTCCAGTCTTTTCCAGTACTGGCCACAGAGTCAATCAGTCTGTCTGTCTGTCAGTCGCCGTACATGTTCGTGTCCTTCGAACTTGCGGATCACTCGAGCGGTCGGCACGTCCCACAGGAACACGTCTTTGTCTCGACCACAGGACGCGAACTTGGAGTTGTCCTGCGCGCTGCAGCCGCCATGAAGCAGTCAGTGCATGACGAAGCAGTCCGTCGTCCGCGTTACTTCAGACCTCGAGCCACTGCTGCGGACACGGTCATCACGTACATGGCCACGTCTTGGACGTCGTAGCCATGTCGGCCCTCGTACGTCTTGACCAGTAGCGCCTCTTTGGGCTTCTCGACGCTGTCCCGATGTGGGTTCCAGAGCTTTATCGTCTTGTCCTGACCGCATGTCATCACGTACGTTCCTGTGGCTGCAACACACACACACACACACACAGACCACATGCCACACATCACACACAGTCCCATCTGGTGGTCAGTACGTTGAGCCATGTCGCAGCGCCACCGAGCGGGGAATTGAAGAGCGACTTGCAGTTGAAGCGTACGGCGTTTACGGGTCCATTGTGACCGCGCAGTTCGCGCTCGCAGCCGCTCAGTGCTGCTGTCATGTCCATCCTGACTGGGACCCTTTCGACTACTTAAGGCTTACTTGACCAAGTGGCGCAACAACAACAACGACGACGACATCGTTTGCCCCTCTGCTTTTCAGCCATTGTCCAAATTAGCTCTCTGTCTAGTGCTACCGTCTAGAGCTACCTCTAAACTGTGTGTATCCGTGCAACTCAGGACAACCCAAGAGCTGCGGCCTTTATCCATCGTCTCAGTGACACCAAGCTGTTCTCTTGGTCCTCGACCAGCTGATGCGACGGAGAGGACGGAATCGGGCATTGCGTCATGCGAATGGCCACAAGCACCGCCACAATTCCCTCGGGCTCGTCCTGTCTCCACTTTCCCACGCTCTCCTCTTTTCTCTTGCTGCCCATTGCTCCCCGTTGCTGTGTTACGGTGACGTGACTGGGGAGACGGACGACTCGAACAGCTCCCAGATGTTGCCGTTCAGAAAGTCATTGTCCACGATACTCACGAGGAAGTACGTGTCGTGGATCTCGTGCAGCAGCTTGAACGACTTGCTGCTCTCCTCGTACAGCGACGCCCACAGCTTGAGCCACAATGCAAACGCCTCGTCTTTCCAGACCAAAAAGCTGCTGCTGTCGACGATCGTGGGCTGCAAGATCTCCTTGTTGGGAAACACTCCCCACGTCACAGCCACAGCCGACTTGCTGGCATTCGAGTACGAATGGCCGTTTACGTCCACGGCGTGGTACTGCACGGAAGGCTTCTTGGCAGCGTTGTTGATGATGGTCTTCATGTTCTCGGGCGACACAAAACACTCCACATACGCCTTCTGGTATACACGGCCTCCAGGACCACCCCAGCCAAACATCGGATCGTCAGAGAGTGCACCGTTCACGCGCGGCTGACTGTTGATGGTCAAGAATCCAGCGGCATTGGCAGTGACGAGCTCCTGTTCGACGGTCGACGTCTCGTCGTGCAGTGCAGCCTCACACCACGGTAGACTTGTGATCTTGCCACGCACGTATTGCACGAATACGTGACGAATGTCTTCTGTTGTCGTTGGTGCGTCGCCCCACATGGAGCGACGTTCAACGGGCAACCACGTATTGGTTGGTGCAAAGTGTGACTCGGTGAGCTCCCCGAACGCAGGACTTTCACTGTTGCCCCAGCGGCCATTCGGGTACTCGTCCCACATGGCCGTGCGATGCACGTAGCTCTTCGGTCGATGGGACCAGTAGATCGGCCGCACGCTCTCTGACGCACGTTTCGACAGCATCGACGTCTCCCAGGGCAGTTCTCGTCGCGAAACATGGCGAGACAGCGATGACAAGCCTTCCAAGATCCGACGCACCGAGCGCTCGAGATTCAGCGTGTAAAAGTGCAGCCCCGGCACGCCAGCGTCAATGAGCTGCTGACTCATGGCAATGCCCAGTTGCACGCCATAGTCCTTCACGGCTTCGTCATTGTCTTTGATCGGCTCCAGCGCTTGACGGACCCTGTCGGGTACAACAGTCTTGCAGAACGACGTCATGCGCTCAAAGCCGCCATAGTTCTGAATTGGCATGATCCCCGGCAGGATCGGTACGGTGATACCTTCAGCTCGACATTGCTCAACAAACGCGAGAAACACTGCAACGTCGTAGAACAGCTGCGAAATCACAAAATCCGCACCGGCGTCGACCTTTTCCTTCAGGTGCTGCACACCACCTGCCAAGTCCGCGTGGCTCTCGGCATGGCCTTCCGGGTAACCTGCAACAGCAATGCAAAAGTAGTCGCCATAGTGGCGACGGATGAAGCGCACGAGGTCGACGCCGTGCGAGAACCCGCGATCGCACTCGTGGAAGCTGCTGGCGCCCCGCACGGGATCGCCCCGCAGCGCTAAAATGTTCCGAATGCCCGCGTCTTTGGCCTCGTCCAGCGCCTTCTTCATGTCGCGCTCGTCCATGTTGGTGCACGTCAGGTGCATGAGCATCTCGAGGCCGCTGAGCTGCTGCGCGTTCGCACTGAGCTCGAGCGTCAGCTGCGCGCTCGAGCCGCCGGCGCCCCACGTCATGTCGCAGAACAGCGGCTCGAGCGCCGCCATGCGGTCCATGCGGGCGTAGAGATTGTCGACGCCGGCCGCTGTCTTTGGTGGGAAGAACTCGAACGAGTAGAACACCTCGTGGCGCTCGATGCTGTCGTTGATCTTGTCAATGATTGTCATCGTGTGGGGAGTGAGTGAGTGGGTACGCGTGGGGTACGTACGCCCTCGACGGTGGATTGTCGACTGACTGACAGATTGATTGACTAGTTGACTAATTGACCAATTGACTGACCAATTAACTGATCGAGGGCGTGGGTGAGACGGCGGGGCGAACGGGAGTACCGGTAGATACGTACCCCGTCGCGCGGTATTTTTGGTGGCGTGTGTATACACAAATTGGTCCAGCGGTACTTCTTTTTGTGTGTTTGCGCTGTCGGTGTCGGCGTTGGGTTCAATTGTTGCACCGCACCATTGAATTCGCGTCCGATGATGACGCAGGTCGACGCGTGCGTCTGTGCGACATGTCATCGAGCACTGCCCGCCAAGAGCTTCTCCCGGCATCAGCAGCTCCGAACACAGCCGTACGTTGCACGAGCGCTGAACTCTGAGCTGAGCACAAGCAGATACATTGGCAAAGTCTGACTGACGGACGGACTGGTTGTGTGGATCGATTTGGTGTCTGTCTGTCTGTCTGTCTGTCTGTCTGTCTGTCTGTCTGTCTGTCTGTCTCCTCTCTCTCTCTCTCTCTTTGTAGCAAGTGCAAAGCGTGTGTCGAAGCAGCAAACGATCACGACCACAAGTTGCAGCAGCGATGGAAACTCTGTGTGCAGTGCTTCCAGCACCTGTCGAAGCTGAGCTTTTCCAAGCGACAGGCCCAGTTGCTGGACGCCAAGTGCATGCGCTGCGTGCAGGAGCTCGAGCGAGTTGCGGCTGCTTCGCCAGCGGACACGGCAAGTAAGTGGCAGCACCCATTCTGCTGTTTCATTCGTTGTCGTTGTCACGAGTGGGTACAAACTGCTGCTGTGGCTGTGTGAACCTGAGGCATGTGGAGCTTTGACCGTTACTATCGCGTGTGCCATCGCGGCAAGAGTGGAGGGGTGTCGGTGCGAGTGAAGCACAATGTTGCGTCGCCGTTGGTTGGCTACATCCCATTCGGCCGCGTGTTCCGTGCTACAGCACCTATTTGCAACGAGCAGGGGGACCCTATGGTCCGACTTGATGGACTCCATCTTTCGTGCATCGTTGTACAAGACGAGACAAAGGTCGTAGAGAAGGAGGAAAACGGCGGTGGACGACAGATGAAGGAAGCGTGGGTGCCCACTCGCTCCATTCGCAACGAGGTGCTGCTAGAATGCCACCAAGGACCCTTTGTCACTGACGAGAGCGCACTGGAAAGTGGACGAACGAGCAGCAAAAGCAGGTTCTTCAGGTGTGTAGTAGAAGGATGCAAAGCGCGCGAGCGAGCCGATCTATCCATTCCAGAGCTTGGGTACGTGCTCTATGGGGACGTCGTTGAAGTGGTTGAAGCTGCTGTCACTCCAGATGGTGTTGTCTTCTTGAGACTCCATGGCCGGTATTTTGATGGCGCCGCATGGGTCGTCGAACGGTCGTTAGACAATGAGTCGGTACTGAACGAAGTTGAGGGTCCGTGGTCGTCATCGCCGACTGTGCCCAGACGCGAGACGTACCGATGTGTGCAAGTTTCTGGAGCTCCTGTCCGTGTAGATCCAGAGCTGACGGCGTTGCCGGTGGGCCGCCTTTCCTGTGGTGCCCTTGTCACTGTTGTAGAGCGTGCGATTACGGACCAACGACAGGTGTTTCTCCGGTTCGTCGACTTGAACGCCACACCTGCAGATGGAAGTGATGCTGTAGACAGCAAATGGGTTATCGAAACCAGCACGTGCTGCGGCAGCGTCATGATCAAGTCCGAGCTTCCGGGACTGTAGCATTGCAAGCATCCACGGCGATTCTCGCGTGAAACGAGTACATTTGGATATGTCCAGACATCTTCCATCTCAAGCACACAGTCGCGCTCGATGTCGTCGTGTGGCAACCAAAACACGCACCATATCCAGGATCTCCAGTCTTGGCAGAGACGTCCAGTGGGGTGTGCAGCCGTTTGGTCCCTAGAAGCACAGATTCGCCGACAAAGTGACACCAGGAAACTGGAAAAGTGAGAAGAGTGTGCAGCAATGTCAGAGTACATCCAGGAGAACGTAATGATAGCACGTGAACGATGGAAGGTAACTTCACTGTCGGTCGCCGAAGCATGTCTGTGCTTTGTCTCTTTTTACCACATCTATTAACGCTGTCATTGCATGGTATCTCATGAGCCTCATGCAGTATGTTGACACTGTTTGCCCTGTAGGATGTCACATGCGGTGCTGTGCAAGTTCGATCCAGCGCATCGTGCAGACGAATCTGATAGAGCGCCTGTCCATCGACACGATAACAAACGAACGAGGAACGAGCCTACTGATTCTCACGAGCATGTCGTAGCAACAGTGTGAGTCACTCAAACAGAAGGATGCAGCAGGACTAGGTACGTCTTTGTCGCAAGTGCCCACGGACGGTTCAATGGCGACCGAACAGCACTAATGGACTGTGTAGACGTGTTTAGACACCATCGCGCTCATCGACAGCCAGATGTTTTGGCGAACAAAGACACCACGAAGACGAGTAAGACAGGGAAGTGCAAGATCAAAATGAGGAAAGTCAGTGTGCAACCCGTCGCTGCTAATGTTGATGCCATTAAAGGGCTGTTGTTACCGCACAAGAAACCGCAGACGAAAGGGCTGTAGGAATGGCTAATGGCTCAGAACAAATGTGGCGCCAATACGTTTGGCAAAAGCAGAACGCGGTAGCCTCTTGACCAGCCAGTCTCGAGCAGCAGAGGAAGAGGCGACACGACAGAACATGAGGACCACAACACAATCGCTTTTTGTGCATCGAAGTTGTCGCAAACCGACGACTTCCTTCTGGACATCTCCCTCGTCCATGTCAGGGCCACCAAACTGCATCCCGTTCGGATACTTTCGGTTTCCCATCGACGCTACGTGGACCATCAGCTGTCGGTGCTTTCGCCATAGACAGAGCACGAAAGCAGCATATTTTGCAGGCTACAGCTCGTTGCGTACAATGTCTTCGAATCTCCCAGGCAGAACCATAGCAGCAACACAAGAAGCAAACATTGCGCCTAAGCTCGATCGATACTGGCAGAATGTGCTCACGTGCGTTAGGAACGCGTTCGTATGGGTACAACACCACTTCGTGGGTTGCACTGTCAATTTCGGATACTAAAGACCATCAGAGGATACGAGCGATGAGACGGATGCACACCAGTCCGAATGATCGCGTGCACTCCCACGCGTCTTTGCTTGGTCACTATGAAGCACATGCAGTATCCGCAGTGCATGACGGGTGCCCGGACGATGTGAATTTAGGTGGCGCAAGGGTTTATAACATGAGGTAGAAAGAAGGCTATGGACAGATATGTACCAGCGTACTGCACTGAGCAATGCGAGGCAACATGTGGTTCAGACTGTGGGCTTACCCGCCACGATAAAGTGTCAAGTGCAGTTCAAGTTTGTGTCAGCTTCGCCCGCCATGACCTCCTTACTCCTCTGGCAAACGCGGCGCTCTCAACAAGCGCATGCGTCGACCTCTACGTCTGGACACACATTACAAAACAGTGTCCGCCAGTTCAAATGACAAGTGCCTCGCAGTGCACCTACATACCTCACGCGTAGTGGACGGCACTCATCTTCCGTAGCTGTAAACGCTTGTGACTTGTCGTCCTGACAAGTAGTTCCGTCAAGTTATCGCTCGCGCGATCGACCCACGTCACCGAAGACGTCGCTGCTTTGGTTGTCCTTCAGACTGCCAAATGGCGTTAACGCCAGTTGGTAGCGCACCCCTTTGTGGCGCAGCAAAGGCACTGCCCGCCTGGTAAACCATCACGACCACAACCACCAGGAGCAGTAGTCGCTCGTCCGTGCCAGGAACGTTCGACCCCACTCGGCACAAGTCAATACGAGCCGTCGAGCAAACCTTCGCGCTCTCCGACTGCACGACCCGTTCTTCCATCCTCCATGTTGCTGCGTCGACAGCCCGTACCCCCTTCGCGTCGCCCTGGCACGGGCCCCGAAACCTTTACAAAAGTCCGACGCTGCAACTTCTTTCGACGTCAGCTTCGTCGGTTCCTCCGTTGGTCTTCGGCCGTGACAACTGAGCCGTCGAGTTGCGCACCTGGTGAGGCCATTCAGGGCACAGTCGCTGCGCGTTTGCTCGAGAAACGAGCAGAGACTGCGGTCGTTCGTTGCGCTGTTGATCCCATAATGGTGTTGCATCGACCGACGTCGTCATTGCAGCTGCAGTGCTTTGGGTCTGCTGCAAGCACGCGGACCGGCGGTCGACGACAGAATGAAGACCGTCTTCGGGCGATTGACAACTTGGATCGCTACGGACGTGAGCTGCTGGAAGTGGCCCCTCCGAACTCGTCGCTGTGTTTCAGGGATTTGCTTCAGCATCGAGGGCTCGAGGACTTTGTCGAGGAAGCACATGCCCCACCTGCATTGGCAGTTAACCACTTGCTGCTGCCACGAGCAGAGACGCAGTTCTTCGGTGTCTACGACGGACACGGCGGGGCACAAGTCTCGTCGCTCTTGGCACTGCTGTTTCCAGTGTACGTCCTCGCGGCACCTGAGTATGCGAGTGACCTGGCAGCGGCCTGTCATTCGGCGACGATGGCGATGGATGAGGAGATTCGGAAGCGAGAGCTCAAAGGCGGAGCTACTGCCGTGACACTGCTGCTTCGAGGAGAGACAGCCGTACTGAGCAATACGGGAGACTGTCGAGCGATCCTCGTGGCCAAGAGAGATCAGGCGGGGGTGCACGTGACGCAACTGACAACGGACCACAAGGCTTCAAATGAACAGGAGAAGCGACGGATTGAAGAGAGTGGTGGCATGGTGTTGTACGTGAGGGGCGTGGCTCGAGTGAATGGCCGTCTGGCAGTTGCAAGAGCTTTTGGAGACTCCGAGTTAGGCCGTCTTGTCATTGCCGACCCGGAGGTGACTGTGCACGCACTACACCAAGAAGACGAGTACATTGTCTTGGGCTCGGACGGCTTGTGGGATGTGCTGACGAACGAGCAGGTGGCATCGTACATTGGGTGAGAGCGAAGCAACGCACTGTCGTGGATAGTTCTTAGGTGACTGACGTGTGTGTGAACTGCTGTTGTATGTGCTACTACGACGTGAGCAGGGAACACCCGTTGCTGGATGTGCAGGAGATGGCCCACATGCTGACACATCTCGCTGTTGAGCTCGGCACTTCGGACAACGTGACGGTAATTGTAGTGGACGTGCGAAGTCGAGCATCTTGAGACGCTTCTTGTGTTTGCTGAAAGGAGAGGGGTATCCCGAGTCTGTCCTCAGATGCCAGTTCCATCTCGCTAGAGATACTCGATGTTTCCACAGTGACTTACTCGCTCGACTCATGGTACGACCGGTTGCCCTGGAAGGGACGATGGACACACAAGTTACAATTGCAACGTGACGGTTGGGGTGCGAAAGCTGCAATCGATCAGTGTGATATGGTGATCGAGACGAGAAGAGTTGCCTGAGATCGATCCGTTTGGACCACGTCGGAGCGTCGAGCATCGGCAGAGCTGAAAAATGTCTCGATGGGTTCGCAACGACACGTCAGAGTTTGGTGTCGTCAACTTGATCGTACCCACCCGCAGCATAGCGACAGCAGCAACGTCAAAAAGCTTTGTCTTGTCGCTGGGTGGAGAATCAGCTATGACTGCCCAGAGACTCTGCGAGCTCCAGTTCGCATTGTGTCGAAAGCAAGAAAAGCTGAACTGCTGCTTTCATCGTAATCAAACACGATGAACATGTGCCCCAAGCATTACGAAATGCGATGGATTCCAAGTTGCAAGAAACAACTCGAGCAGTGCGTTCGTTGGACCGTTCATGCTCTCTGTCAGTGTTATTGCAAGAAAGTAAGAAAGCAACGCGGCGTGACGAAAGAGCATTGCAAAGCGCAGCAGTTCGTGTTTCAGAAAACACTATGAACACACATGGGACAGTCAAAGCTTTGGCGAGTGAAGGCGGTTTCGACACCATGAGAGATTCGCGCGCTTTCGGAGGACAAGACCCAGGGCGAGACTTTCGTTTGCTTGTTCTGGGACATGGCCTGCACGAAGAGTGTCAACTTTACGGTTCAAACACATGAGCGAAGCGAGCATCGTCGATGCGTTAGCAGCGTACGGAACGTCAGTGTACCAGTACGAGTATGCCAAGTAGTACCCACTGGCCGTCTTCGTGTACATTGTGCCGTACAAAGTGCAAACAGCGGCGAAAAATGAATGGTACAGTAGCTATCGGAACATTGCTGTCAACGCCTTCACCGACCTGATCTTCTCAGCACGTAGAGTCGTACACCTTCAGCATTTGGCCTCCGTTTCAGCCTCCCCAATGTCCAGAGGGCTCTCCGAAAGACCAGCATGTGCAGTTCAGAGCTCCCGCGATTTACTTGTCCGTGTCAGCAATGCACTTGTTCACGACCGTGAGCAAGTGCGAGTTCTCCAGCGCAGCTGCAACGCGCTCCTTGTCGTTCAGCTGCTTGTTCACCTCTGCTTCGGACGAGTGTGTGCCCGGCGTGATGAGAATGTCCACCTTGAAACGTGGCGGCATGGAGCGCAGAAGCTTCACGCGCAGACAAAGTCCAATCAGCGTCGCCATACTATGCCCACACGCAACGGGTTAAGTGCTCGTTCCACCAGCCAATGTCAACAGTAGAAGAGCGCCCTGGACGTACCTGCAGTGTGGGATAGTGGGCGTAAAGTACACTTTAACGCGCGAGTTGGCGTCATCGACGTGAATGTTCTCGAGGGTCATGACCTTGAGCTGCTCCAGTGTGAGCGGGTGCTCGGGGTCATTGACATGTCGAAGGATTTCTGCACTCTTTCGTTTAGTTTGCAATCGCTGGAGCTCCTTCGAAATGGTAATAACAAGAAGTCGTCGTACGCACCAAAGACCTCATCGGCCTCGAACGGGTCAACGGCGTCTTCGTCGAGCGCTTCGTCCACGTCAAAGTGCTTGCGCGTCGGTGCAGCCACAGCGTACACAGTCGGATTGGCGTTGAGTTTCTCCTGCAAACCCATTATCGCTGTTGTCTGCGGATGCTTCTGGATCAGCTATGAGAGGTTGGGCCATGTGTGCAAAAAACGCGTTACTTTGATTTTACAGCGTTTTGGCATAGCTGAGTAAAGTATCGATAAAATACCGCGAAGCCTCACAACAAGAATACGATAAGACAGTCTGCGCATACTGAGCTTTTCGCCACCATAACCAGAGATTGTCATCATCAACAAACAGCTGCGTGCGGTTTCTGAAGCGTTCAAAGCTCGAAAACTCCCATCGTTCGATTTAGACTTATGCGTGTCAAGCTTATCTAGCGGATGCCTTGACCACTCGGTAGCAGCATAGCAGCGCTATTACTGACTCACAAGTGACTGTTTATCCGCGGAACGTGCAAGGACGCGAAGCCTTGAAGACCGTCTTCTGGTGCTTCTCGGCAGCGCGTGGCAGACGGTGGGACAGCGGGAACGAGATCTTCGAGTCGTGGAACTGCTGCACGTTCAGCTTCTTTGCGTCCTTAGCCGACACAATTGCCGTACGCATGATCTGGATCGAGCGAGGGCGCGCGCGGTGACGGCCAGCCAGTTCCGCGTACATCTGTTCGACAGCCCTGCACATGGTCACGTCACGGTACTCCTTGTACATGTTGTGCGTGCCGCTGCGTGAGTTGTAGCGGATCCAGATGCCGTAATTGTTGATCACGCGGCTGTTCTTCTCCGTGAGCTGTGACGACAAACACACAGCAACGAGAGAACAGTTAGTGACACAGCTCGCTCGAAACACTCCATGTCAGTGAAAGTGTGGCCTCGTCGTCGACAGTGGACAGTTGTTCAGAGTTGGGTCGCTTACAGATGATCCGTTCCACTACATCCAATAGCTAAACAACGGATCACACCGCGATCTCACTAGCGACAAAGCGGTTTGCAAGCTGGAGTAGAGCGAGAAAGGCCATGGAGCGTGGGCTGCTCAACATGACCAAAGCTTCTCTACTCTCGTGGCAAGCAAGCGCTTGTACAAGTCGCTAGGAGGAACAGACGAGGAGGCAGACTCCATTCTGTCTCTCGGTAGTCATGTAGCCATCACTACTGACAGGGTTTCCCTCGCAATGCGGCAGACGCGACGCACCTCGCTAATGTCCAAGATCTCGCCCGTCGTCTTCTTCATCTTCTTCATCTGGTGCAGAAAGTACCAGAAACGGGACTGAGCCAGCACCGGGTTCGGCGCAAACAGCTTCATGCGGTACGCCGGCGGGTTCGGCTCCTTTTCCGTGGGCGCCTTACGGCCAACGACTTGGAATTGACGGATCTGAGCATCACAAGCAGTGCACGAAGCAATAGAACTTAGCGACAAGTTCGACCCGGTGAACGAGCGGGGCAGCGTGTGCAGAAGATGGCTACATACCGGCATTGTTGGGCTTGGGGGAGTTTTTCCGCGAAATGGAGAGCCGCAGACAGTGACTGGGCGACACACACTCTCGCTTTCATTGGTGGAGAGACGTCGACAGCTTTTAGCGAGTGAAATGTATTGGCGGCTCGGTATTATACCCGGATGGTACCTAAAACCCGCGGGTTGCGTGTGCGGGTTTGGGCAAAAAAGCTTGTTTTAAACAGTAGACGAGAAACCCAAAGCATTTACGCGTAAAATGAGGCGGAAATGTTGCTAAAACGTATCGTCTCGAGTGGAGTCGCAGGCAGATATAGAGGAACGAGCAACGACGTCGCCCTATTTTGATTACATTGTTCAAATTCGAATGCAGTCAAGTCCATTGGAACTGAGTGTAGAGGCCTCGATCATTGTATGACGGTCATGTAGTGCACGCTAACCAGAGAGTTCTAGTATCAGAATGAGTTCGTGTCTTACACATACCGTCGCCGTCCCTACTGTCGCATCACGACGATAGGACGAGGACGTGCATTTGTCAACGCCTGATGTTGTTCCTATAACGCTACAGCAAAGATCTGCGGTAGTACGTGTGATGCCGACCCCCGCATGTTAGCGTCAGTTAGCTTCGTGTCGGCCTGGCCGCGAGAAGGCATCAACGCATATGTCGATCCCAGCTAGAAGCCCTTCACGCAAAATATGTTGCAGTATTTTTAGTGACTACACATAACATCAAGACTCTGCAAGTATACATACAGAGTCGTTACAGATAAGTAACGACTAAGACTTGGCATGAGCGCGCATTATTACCAAAGCAAGCCTTGTTCGCGAAACGTCTCTCCTGTCATCAGTCGATCTACCTCTCCATCAGATGTGCTACGCCAGTACTTGCGTGGATACAAGCTGCCCGATTCATGTCACCCACATCTGTACCACCTCATTTGTCAGTCGCGGCACTCACAAATTACGCACACTACACTCTATGTCCTGCCGTCAAGTTACCGATTGCATTACCAAGCACATAGCCTGCAACAAGCAGTACAAAAGTCAGGCGCGTTCTGAATCGTCTGCAGCGCAATTACAACGACTGCGAGCGCTCGTTGCCCACGAATTGTCACATCGTCAACTAGTTTATGTAGCCCCCTGTGTCACATGATGGAGCGTCACCGGCGATCGAGCTTTCTTTTCTATCCGTATAGCACCTATCAGCTCCAGTACCTACCATGTAAACTCGTTGGGCTTGCAAGCTGGCAGAATGACGTTTCCGGCTTGGACGGTTCATCGGTCGTATCGCTACATCACCGCATATATTTACGGTATGTGGTCGTGTATCCGGAGCAATCGGGGGTAAAACTGCTGCATTAGGGTGTGCACTTGTCGTGTATACAAGGTCTAGATGTGATGGTCTTAGCGCGAAGTGACAGCATTAAATAGCTTTCGCCATCTTTACATCGCGATTGGGTTAATCGAAAGATTGACCAAGTGCGAACAAGAGAATGCTTCCTAACAAGCTCACCGAGATACAATACCAAGGTACGATTGTAAACTTAAGCATGATTCACCGGACAGTGGACGTAATTTTGCTGTCTGACCTATCGGCAAGCTAAGCGCCTTTTGCCCCACATACATGCATTCAGTTGGGACCATTACATCGATCTCGATCTCGACCTCGGCGTGGTCTGTCTTTTTAGACGCGGACGCTTTGCGTACACCACGGTGTTCCAGAATCAGAGCATCCAAGCAGATCCTAAGAAAGATGTTTATGCGAAGATCCCGCTATCTAACTATACCAAAGAGGTCCTGATTTCGACAGATGTTGCTCCTCCTAAGAATTTAGATAGGACGTTTCAGGTACGCCATCCTAACGTGCATCTGCAACCTGCTGGACCATTGTACTGAGTCGATCCTTTCTAACAAATAGGCATCATTATAGATCACCTTTCGACTCAGCCTGATGGCGAGCAGGATGGTATGCCAGGGCCCGCCTAAACCTACTTTTCGATATGCTCATGATTTAATCGTTTTGCTTAGAAAATATTGACTGCAAACGAAAGCGTTGCAAATTTTATTATCGAGTAAACTACAGCGAATGGAGGACTGGAGTACAAGAATCCTCACTTAAAAATTTGGGTACAGCGTGCTATAAGAGACGTGTTAGGACGTGTTTTGTGCTGCCTCGTGTAATTTAATGCAAAGGCTTAAGTTTAGATTTGTTTATTTAATCGTAATATCAAGATTAATTTGACTTAACAAAGTAGGTCATATATGCTTTTGCTCGCCATCCTTTCCCTTACCTCGTTTAAATCTTTCGAAAACCACTTCTGTAGAAAACGAAAACTTCGTAAAGCCTACACTTTCTTAGCGCATTGATGATCGCCATGACAATTGCCTGTAAAGCAAATGGTGGCTCACCATCCGTTGCACTTCACTCGATCTTACAGTATCTACATTTGTACTTGGATTATCTCTTATTTAAAGTAGAAACATTAAAACATGAATTTGTATTTATTTTGTAAAAAAACAGGGTGGTTCGGTTAATGTGTGCCTAAACTCAGAAAAGACGCCTATTTTTGGCATTTACGAAGCAATTTAATCGTGTTCAGTAATCCCTGGGAAGGTTCCATCATAAAAGGGGCCACTTCTAGACCGGGGTCTAATTTCTTAGCAATGCACTCGACCCCATGATATCTTTTTTACACCATTATCACCTCGGCAAAGCATCTTGGTATGATAGCGCGATCACCACAAACCTATTCACGATCGAAAAAGCTTAGCCCTTGTAAATCCATTAACGTTTCGCATGCTCATGTAGCACCCTTTTTGTTAAGCCTAAACGGACCTAAATTTTATTTTACGCGCACAGAAAATATGCGACACGTACGAGCAAGGAATATTTCTATAAACATAGGTATAAGATAATAAAGTTAACAGCGAACAGTCTAAATATGGCTTAAAGAGCATTGGTGCTTAATAGTTCAGTCGGCATTTAAAAAGACTAAGATGAGAAATAACAAAATCAACATATATTGAGGTTTGGAGGAGAGTTCTCTTGCCATATTAACACCAGTAATGGCATAAGCATCATACTAGTAGTGTCAAGCTCTAGCATATAAATTCAATGAGAACTAGTTATCGTCTTGATACCAAGCATCTCCTGATGTGATTACGCAAATCCATACGCACATGATTTGGATTGATATGTCGCGAACAATCCTCCCTACATCAACCTGCAGTCCTGGTGCATACATATCTCAATGATCATTAACGACGAATAGTAATTCGATA